TGGAAGCAATGGTAATCACATGGTACTTGTGTTACAGCTCCCACATTTTCTCTTGATGACTGCAAATATTTTGTACCTTCACTGTATGTAAGGATCCGCGCTGAGTTTTGGATGTTATTTACATGTGAAACATATGTTTTGAAGGACAAATAAAGTTCACAATGGAATGGAAGGGCAGTCTGCTGTAGCAAGATGTGGGAGATGCAGGGCAGGTAATTCCATACTCATTTATATATATCGGGGGGGAGGGCTTTTGTCAGTCATCCCACTTTACCCATCTTGGTCCTCAGCCAATCCACTGCTGGGACTTCACCTGCCCCTTGAATGAGGGTTAAGGGGGAGCTACCAAGGAATGGGGTTGACTCCTTGCTGTATCAGTCATAGGAGCCCCTTCCGTGCATCTGCTCCTTTAAAGGACACCTCCTTTAAATCTTTTCCCAATCCATTTTATATGATCACTGTATCCCTTCCAGATGGAGTAACTGCACTGGACATTTGCTACAAGGAGATGCCAACAGTTAGCTTGTCTGTCTCCCCCACATACCTGTTCCCAGACATCTACAAAATCCACCTTTGATACTGGCCAGAAATATGGCATCTCCCAAGTCTGACAAGAAGATCCCATCCTCCCTGAATAATTCTTGTGCCTTGTATGCTATATCCAAATGAGAAATTACTGACCCCTGCACCATGCCACTTATGAATTTGGTGACCTCCCTATTTGAATACCTCCTACACCTTTCAATCCTAAAAACCCAGTAGAAGGATCTGGGTAACCATTCAGCCTACTGACAAATGTCAGGTGTGATAGGTAAGTAGAGATGGTCAATAACACCAGTCGCTGCATTGCTAATGACACCATGTATGGCAGTGTGACTGAGGTCCAAGGGACCCACTCTGAGATTGCTCAATTAGGGCAAACTGCAAAGAATAGGGCAATCACCAATACTTAGATTCACCAAGCCAGCAACAAAACAGCTTCTACAATACCTTACCGGTTATCCAGAAGCCAGAACATAGTTCCCTTAAAGGAACCCAGCTTTGGGCTCCCACCCAGACAGCCAAGTCAAATATGATGAGGATTCCTGAAAATCTTGTTCATCATATAAAAAAGTTCTACCAGTTGCAAAGGATTGGACACATTACCCACTAGGTTAATGAATAGTTCAGATCTTACCCAAATACACACTTAAAGCCAATTCTTATTAACTAAGCTAAGATTTATTAAAAAAGAAAAGAGTATTGGTTAAAAGATCTTTATACAAACAGATATGAATGGAGTTCTTAGGTCAGTTTCATAATAGAGATGGTGAGCTTTGCAACTCTAAAGAGTCCTTTCAGAATTAGTCCATAGATTATAGTCCAAAATCCAATATCAGGGTGATCCAGATGGGACTGGAGACCTCAATCTTGCGACTAAAGCTTCCCCTGATGAAGCTTAAGCAGATCTGAGATGAAAGGATCAGGGCCCAAGAGTTTTTATAGATCCCTTGCAGGCTATTGTCAGCCTCTTGACAGCAGATGTTCCTTGGGTGAAGAATACTGTCTTTGAAGTAAGCTCCTATTTCCTAAGAATCACTGGTGATTAGCTAAGAACATAAGAATGGCCATATGGGGTCAGACCAAAGGTCCATCTAGCCCAGTATCCTGTCTTTTGACAGTGGCCAATGCTAGGTGCCCCAGAGGGAATGAACAGAACAGATAATCATCAAATGATCCATCCAATGTCGCCCATTCCCAGCTTCTGGAGAACAAAGTCTAGGGACACCATCCCTGCCCATTCTGGCTAATAGCCATTGATAGACCTATCCTCAATGAACTTATCTAGTTCTTTTTTGAACCCTGTTACAGTCTTGGCCTTCACAACATCCTCTAGCAAGGAGTTCCACAGGTTGACTGTGCATTGTGTGAAAAAATGCTTCCTTTGGTTTGTTTTAAACCTGCTGCCTATTAATTTAATTTGGTGACCCCTAGTTCTTGTGTTATGAGAAGGAGTAAATACCACTTCCTTATTTACTTTCTCCACATCAGTCATGATTTTATAGATCTCTATCATATCCCCTGTTCATCATCTTTTTTCCAAGCTGAAAAGTCCCAATCTTATTAATCTCTCCTCATAGGGCAGAGGCTCCATACCCCTAATCATTTTTGTTGTCCTTTTCCAATTCCAATGTATCTTTTTTCAGATGTGGCGACCACATCTGCACGCAGTATTCAAGATGTGGGCATACCATGGATTTATATAGGGGAAATATGATATTTTCTGTCTTATTTTCTATCCCTTTCTCAATGATACCCAACATTCTGTTCACTTTTTTGAGTGCTGCTGCACATTAAATGGATGTTTTCAGAGAATTATCCACAATGACTCCAAGATCTCTTTCTTGAGTGGTAACAGCTAATTTAGACCCCATCATTTTATACGTATAGTTGGGATTATGTTTCCCAATGTGCATTACTTTGTATGTATCAACATTGAATTTCATCTGCCATTTTGTTGCCCAGTCACCCTGGTCTGAGAGATCCTTTCATAGCTCTTCAAGGTCTGCCTGGGACTTAACTATCTTGAGTAGTTTTGTATCATCTGCAAATATTACCACTTCACTATTTACCCCTTTTTTCCAGATCATTTATGAATATGTTGATTAGGACTGGGCCCAGTACAAACCCCTTGGGGGACGCCGCTATTTACTTCTCTCCATTCTGAAAACTGACTGTTTATTCCTACCTTTTGTTTCTTATCTTTTAACCAGTTACTAATTCAAGAGAGGAACTTCCCTCTTATACCATGACTGCTCACTTTGCTCAATAGCCTTCGGTGAGGGACCTTGTCGAAGGCTTTCTGAAAATCTAAATACACTACATCCACTGGCTCCCCCTTGTCCACATGCTTTTTTGACCCCCTCAAAGAATTCTAGTAGATTGGTGAGGCATAATTTCCCTTTACAAAAACCATGTTGACTATTGCCCAACAAATTATGTTCTTCTATGTGTCTGACAATTTAGTTCTTTACTATATTTTCAACCAATTTGCCTGGTACTGAAGTCAGGCTTACCAGTCTGTATTTGCCAGGATCATCTCTGGAGCCCTTTTAAAAAATTGGCATCACATTAGCTATCCTCCAGTCATTTGGTACAGAAGCTGATTTAAATGATAGGTTACAGACTACAGTTAGTAGTTCTGCAGTTTCACATTTGAGTTCCTTCAGAACTCTTGGGTGAACACCATCTAGTCCTGGTGACTTATTACTGTTCAGTTTATCAATTTGTTCCAAAACCTCCTCTAATGACACCTCAATTTGGGACAGTTCCTCAGATTTGTCACCTAAAAAGAATGGCTCAGGCTCGGGAATCTCCCTCACATCCTCAACCGTGAAGACCAATGCAAAGAATTCATCTAGTTTCTCTGAACGGCCTTATTGTCCTTGAGTGCTCATTTAGTACCTTGATTGTCCAGTGGCCCCATTGGTGGTTTAGCAGGCTTCCTGCTTCTGATGTACTTAAAAAAAAAGTTATTACTTTTTGAGTCTTTGGATCACTGTTCCTCAAATTCTTTTTTGGATTAACATAAGGCAATTGCCTATCTCCCGCCATGAACAAGCAGTTTACTATATTCTTCAAAGAAAAATGAAGACAGTGATATCACTACATTCACAGTTCATTTAAATGTTAACATCTTTTGATCTCTGAATTAACAGAATACAGAAATAGACAGGAACTGTTTGGTTACATTGTCAACCTCTAACAATATATATGTAAACACACAAAAATACAAACGTTATCTACTAATATGTCTTTAAAGGTTGAATCTGGGTCAATTAGCCTGCTAGTTGTGTAACCCTTTCTGGCCCCATGTCCCAGGCAGTAACTGTTTCTCTGTAATGGGCCATATTGGTAACAGACTCTCCCGCTCCCAAAATTGCACAAAATCATTAAAACTTCTCTATACCTCCGAAATGTTTGTGAAGCCACTGATTTCTGTGCTACTGTAATGAGGCCCTCGCACAAATCAGCCAGAGACCTCCTCCAAGTGCAATCACCAGTGCTTCTTTCATTAACAGTGTCAGCTCCCACCACCTTCTATTTACAGACAGTTGTAAACTAGCAACCTGGGGGACAACTAGCTTCTCCAGCCAGCAGGGATACACAGCCTGTGACCCTTTCCTTTCCCCCTCTCACTTCCTTCCTGCCAGCTTTATATAGCTCCCTGGCTAATAAGGCCCGCAGGTGATCCTCTTTCACCAATAAGGTGTGTCATACTCAGCCAGCCCCAAATTAATCCTTCTTAATTGGAGCTGGGCTAACAGAGGCCTGGCTCAGGGCCTCCTGGCCAGCACCCTGCTACAGCTACCCTGACGGACATCATACACCAAGGCTCATAGTGCTTGAGGCAGGCATTCGGATTCCCTTCTAGCTGCTGGTGCCAGATCTGAAATGCTGTCCACCTGAAAATGACAGTGCATCTGCAGCATTACTATAGGCACATATCTGGAAGAGAAACAGATGTTAAAATGTAAACATTGTAGTACACGTGCCCTCACCAACCTCATAACCTGTGTGATCTGGAAAGCTGGCGATTGATAGTATGTACCCTTTTATTAACAAACTTCATTCCCCTAAGGACCACTGCCACCAAAATGGGAAAAATCCAGAAATGTTATATATATCCTGCACTATGCCTTCAGGCCATTGCTACGTTGGTAAAATACTCACAAACCTGTACCTCCTGAAGCATCTGAGAGGATCTTTAAATCAGCCTTGAGTACCAACAGGGCTTTTTCTGCACTGCCATGGACATAAATGGTCCCCACTCTCTTCCAGACACCTGCGGGGAGGGATGAGTCAGTGTCCCCACTCTGACCTGGTATGAAGCTGCAACAGCAAGTCACTCTCTTATCTCTCTCCCTTAATGGGAGCACGCACCTTTTCTGACAAGCCAGACAATGTGTGGTGAGGTCATCGCAGAAAATAATTTGAAGCTTATGGATCATGTTAGAGTTACAGATGGAAGAAGCAGATGGTGGAAGAAAGGGCAGTTCAAAACCGTAATGTTAACGAGAGCACCAAATAGTGACTGATTTCACTTTCAAAAATAATGAATGGTAAGGGTTTCATCCATAAACATGTTTTTATTGCAGTTTGATGGAGCCATATGTTTGCATGGTTTGCAATAATAGATTCACTGGTTTCAGGGATTCAGCATTGTGTTAAATATAGTTTCAGTATTACAGTAGTTCTGTAAGTTGTTGATTGCACTTTCAGTGTTTCTTGGCAGCTCTAAGAAAATATCAGTTCATGCATTATATATTTATAACTAGCTTTCAGCTTATACCATCTACATATGGTGTTATTAAATTAATTTTGATCTTCAAGATTCCAGTATAAGAAGCCAAGTAGTGACCTGGAGGACTATCTATCACAACGTCTAAAAACCTTAATTGCAAGTGGATTTTCTTTTAGGGAAAATAGGGAGGTTATATGAATGGATTTTAAATTGAGAAAATACTGTTTAGGTAACTTGAGCACAAAAGACAGTCCTGTATAGATTGTACTGCTTTAGATTACATTATTTGCTGGCACTTTACAATTGCTTTATCTAGATAATAGTTCTATGAGCTTCATAGCACTGACATATATCAACAATTATTTGTACTATATTCTGAGAGGTTCCCTGACAATGTATTGTTCTATTCTTTTTTATTAACCAAAGGTCTCATATGGGAAAACATCCATGCCAATTACTGCTAATAAATTACCTTTGTGAAGTTGCTGAGAAGAAGGGACAATTGGAGTATTTTTAGCTATTAGTGTTTTTTTGGTGCAACTTTGTTTTTTTCCCTTTTCACATCAATTCATCTGTTTTCAGTTCTATTGTGTTTTTCATTTAGAAAGTTATATGCCAGATGCTTTTAATATCCAAGACCACTGAATCAATAACTGGACTGTACTTGTCAGTTGGCATCTGGCATATATTTTAATATTGATTTGTACAGAAAATCTTCTACACTAATTGCCTAGGGATGTGTTTGAACTATTCAGTAGTGTAAAACACTGTTTATATGCTGTCTAAAACTGTAGATGATCTAACCGTACTGATTGTGCTAAACCATGTTCTGACTGGCAGGTTGGGCTTCTCTAGAAAGGTACAACCGTGCATGAAGATGGAAACTCATCCCCCACCCAAATCAAAAATCTATAAAAGCAAACTAGAAAATGATGACTATTTTGTTAAATTGGGCGAGGAAGTGTTCCAGGGGAAGATCTAAAAATTATTTCTCTTTCTTCCTTCTCGCATTGGTAAGTGCTATTTGTAAATGTTTTTAAGTGCTGTAGCCACAAAGAACTTGGAGGGTGGGGGCTGAAGCTGACAAAGTGACTCTTTAAAACTGTTTTGTCCACCCCAGAACCGCCTCACTGCTATTTCAAAAACAATTCATGCCTTTCCAAATACTTTTTATGATATAATAACTGGGAACTATTTGAAATTCACAATTTAAATGCTTACAATGGAAGATCAGATGAAACTGACAGAGTTCTCAACCTTCTGGCACAACTGAAGTGTCACCGCTACCTCTACTCCACCAGTCTGCCCATCCTCAGGGTCATTCTGGCTATGCGGAGCAAAAAAAAAAAAGTATGTTGAAAAGAATGCCTTCCCTGTCCCACAGCCTTTCTTCCAAAATCTTTCTGAAGGAATCTTTTTTTAAAACCTTGCGTGGGAGCTATATGAATGGGATTTTCAAAAGTGTCTCCGTGGCTGGTTTAAGAGAACCAGTCCAACAGAAAGTTAATCAACTCATGCTCCTAAATTGCTTTTAATTCCTCTATAGCCATGTAGTATGCATGTATCTGTAGTCTGATTTTGTTGCTTGTTATGCACAAATTAACAGGGCTACTAGTCCGGATGAGAGTAGATCAAAAAGTTCAAACTCAGCAGTATAAAATGCCTGATCACTAGAATTTACATTATAGTAACTCAGAGATTTTGCTTCCTGTTTATGTGGTTAAAACCTATATATATAAAACCTGGGATATATGCATTCTGAGGCCATGTCAATTAAAATAAAAAGAAATTATAATTGCTGATATTTGTGTACTGAATGGTGATTCAGGCTTTTACAATGACACTCACTTTCATGCTGGCAAAACCCTGAAAATTGTTTTCAATACATACACCACAATTGGGCATATTTTTTTATTTTATTTTTCTTTTGTCTTTCTCTTCCTCCTTTTTTACTAACAAAATATAAGATGGGAAGCTAAAATTTACTCAGAACCCTAAATATTCTCTTACTGATTTTGATTTTATTAAAACTGGAGAATAATTACTATGCTAAATCAATATCCATGTTTCTCACTGGTACACAGCTATAATAAAATTTATAACAGGCAAGGATGATTATTTTCTAGATCAGGGGTTGGCAACCTTTGAGAAGTGGCGTGCCAAGTCTTCATTAATTTAGTAATGCCAGTAATAAATTTTACATTTATAGGGGCCCCCCAATGAAACCCCAGACTGGCAGCAGGCCGGTGGCCAGGACCCCGGCTGGCAGGGGTCTGGGTAGCTGGCACTCCAGACCAGCAGCGTGGTGAGCGGGATGGGCAGCTAGTATTCCAGGCTGGCAGCAGGCTGAGAGGGGTCATTAGCCAGGACCCCGGCTGGCAAGGGGCTGGTGGCCAGAGCCCTAGACTGTCAGCAGGCTGAGCAGGGTGGCAGACAGAACCCCAGACCAGCAGCGGCTCACCCGCTGATGGTCTGGGGTTCTGTCCGCCAGCTCCTGCCAGCCAGGGTCCCTGCCGCTGGCCCCGCTCAGCCCACTGCTGGCCTGGGGTTCTGTTCACTCAGGCTGTCAGCAGGCTGAGCCGGGCTGGCAGCCGGGACCCCGGCTGGGAAGGGGCCGGCGGCTGGAATCCCAGACAGGCAGTGGGCTGTGTGATTCAGCCCGCCGCTGGTCTGGGATTCCGTCTGCTAGCTCCTGCCAGCTGGGGTCCAGGCTGCTGGCCCCACTCAGGCCGCTGATGGCCTGGGGTTCCATTGGACCCCAGCTGGCAGCAGTGTGCCAGTAAAAATCGGCTCACATGTCGCAGGTTGCTGACCCCTGTTCTAGATAGTGTATATACAGAAGAAACAGCTGACAAGGATCAGTTCAGTTATAACTGGTATTACTCGTGTGTGGAAAAATGCAATATTTTTATGTAAGTATGATCTGCAACTGTAATACATTATTGAGGTAATCCTCTGAGGAAAGAGGAATTTTTATAAAATTAGTAATCTACTGATCTCATTCTTTAAGAGCAAAATGTTCTAAAATGTATGCAAGCATGCAATTAGCATGAATATGAAATTATTTTAAGTATTACAAACTGTTCCTGGCCTAGTTGGATGGTTCCATGTTTGCATATTTCTATCCAAAACCACTGACAAATATTTGAAATCTAGATTGTTTTTACTCATTCGAGTGCAACTGCAAAGGCTGCATTGGAGAAAATAAACATTCAAAAATCCAGCTGTCTGGTTGGAGTTCTGAGTGACAGCAAAATAGACTGAAAACTGTGAATCTAATATGCATGCCTATATAAAATCTGTATTTCAGGGGATGATAAATGCAAATAATTGTTTTTTAACTTAAAAAAAATAAAATACTTTAGAGAGTATATTTGCCCTTAGATGTCAAAGTTCTTACTTTTTCAATCTAATCTGATATATAAGCAATAGACATGCAAACAAAGATAATGCTTTAAATCTGTTTGTTGTTTAGTTGCCCTCCGTCCTTTGCAAGTGTTGGCTTTCTTCATTCTAACTGTTGGCTCAACTCTCTTTTCTACCTTTTATCCATGTGTCCCTTCAATCCTTGTATTAGACACACTGTGGTATGAAACCAGGTGGTCCCTGAAGAGTTGTGCTCCACAGTAGTGTTGAGACAGACAATGTGTAGAAAAGTGACTGGATTAATTAAAGCAGAAAACATGGTTTTTGATCTTTGATCTAGGAAAGAGCCTATTGACCTGCTAAGCTTGGATGCAAGGATCTTTGTGGAGGGCCCTGACACCTGAGTGTGGTAGGATTCTCTGCAGAACCTGGGGAGCTAGAGGGAGTATTGGCAGGGCAGGAGCCACGAGAGCCACTGTACATCTGCTTTCTGACCACCCCACCACCCCCACATCTGTTTCTTTTTTAGCACTGAGTGTGGCCTTACCTGCTCTCAGAACCCAACAGCAGATTTTCTGATAGGCCAGTCCAGCGCACAGAAAAGAAGTGTGGATCTACTTGCTGTTTGCAGGGCTAAACAGAGGAAATTTTTTTTGTCAGCTAGTTTCCGATTCTTTGTTACTAATGATGACATAAAGGAAATAACACAGCTTGAATTTAAGTTCCTAGGTTGAATTTGCAGGGCTGCCTGTTGGGAAAAATCCCTAGCAAACTAAGCAAAAGTGAGCTGTAGCTCACGAAAGCTCATGCTCAAATAAATTGGTTAGTCTCTAAGGTGCCACAAGTCCTCCTTTTCTTTTTGCGAATACAGACTAACACGGCTGTTACTCTGAAAACTAAACAAATGGTGTGGATGTTATTGAGTGCATAAACATGGAAACCCTGATGGCATTTTTATAGTTACTCTTCCAACTGCATAACCACAATTCCAAGTACCCACAATGACTAATGTGAGTTGAAGAAAAATGGTAGAGAAAGACACGCATGTCTGATGCTGAATACAATCTTGTTTGTGCGTAATGCATCGGAGAAATGAAAATATCCTGTAATGCTGCTGACGTCCCTGTGGTTTGCTTTGTTGTTCAATAGTTGTGGAATATCAAGGTACCTGAAGAAGTCCTTTTTGTGATATTCCAAACTTACCAAGATGATTTTAAAATGGGAGAATGTGTAACTTTTTCATCTGATGCTTGTTCCCCTTTCTACAAGTTATATAATTTCAGTCTTTGCAAGGGCTGAAAAAGGGGCAAGGCCAGAAAATAAATATATTTTTTTCCTAGTGAAGGTAAAGAAGGCAAAAACCATAGCTTAAAATGAAGTCTGTTATTTAAGCCTGTAGCATATTATGACCTTAGTTCCTACCATAAAACATAAGTAGAATTTAAAATGACAGGAAAGTAACACTTACAGAAGAATTCTCTAATGCTCAGTAGTGTTCTAATGGTCTCTTTCAGTTACACTAAAAACATTTGCCAACTAAATTTTAACAGTTGAATGTTTTCCTTGATAACAGTGTGACTGTCCTTCATCTCAGAACCATGATAGCCAATGAATGGTTATTTCTGAGACTGACATTAAGATCGTTATTGTTAATATTTTCCAAAGCAGAGAATACAGTTGCAGCATACTTAAAGTTCATGCAAACATTGGGGTCATCCAGTGTGGCCAGCCTCATTGTGCTATGCTGCTACATATAACAGGATTTGAGCACACTTATGTTTTTACTTGTGTGGTTATACTCAGAGATGCTGGTTTAGGATTCCTGTGAATATTTTTAGTTGATTAACTTAAAGGGAAGCAAAAAGAGTAAAGAAAATCAGAATCCCAGTATAGTAACTTTCTGAAATTACTTCTATACTTAACTTGAAAGACTTCATGTTTAGAAATATTGCTAAGCTCCTTCTGTTGATGAAGGAAATGAGGAACAGAGGTGGTAATTTCTCCACAATCCCACAGTTGTTGTGCCGGTAATAGACGGCAGAAGTGCTGAGTCTCAGACTTTTACTTTAGCCACTATGCTACCAATTCCGCTATCCAAAACCTCATGTGTTTCTTTATATGAAGAACTTAAATGCCTATCTGAAAAGGGCTGCATTTAGTTTTCTGCCACACTAATTGCCAGATTCCTAATGTGTAGAGTCAAAATTCTACATAGTAATAACCTTTCTTTCTCTCGTGCTCCAAAAAATGAAGGCAGTAAAGCTCTTGGGAGAAAGAAACCAAATTAATCACAGTCCTCTATATAAAGGTTCCCTGGGGTGATTGAGATATAAGGCCACTCTCTTCCAGGTTACTGATCTGAACCCAGCCAACTCTTGGTAGTTAAATAAATTGCATAAACCAATGTTCTTTGGTCACTTCTGAGGGGCCTCTATTGCTAACAAAGTTAATTGCAACTTGTATACAACATAAACAAGGGTGAACTAACATGGCTTCTTCTACTAGCCAAATGTCATTGTTTGCAATAGGCTCTGAGGGCCACCATCTTCTCACAAGAGGTGTTCAGCACCTTCAATGATTGGCCCCTGAAAGAGAAAATTAGTTTTCAGGCATTCTTTATGACTTGTTCCCAAATTGAGCCAATAGC